TTGTTCTATCTATGCTCTCTCTCTTTTTAAACTTTTATTTTATTTTTGCTTTTTAAAATTTAAAAAAAATTGAAATTTATTTTTAAAAAATAGAAATTCGAGAATGACAAGAGAAATTCTTTTTTTAACTAAAATTTTCTAAAAAAATTATTATTTCTCACAATTCTGAGATATTTTGTTAATAATTGAAGGCCAGATTTTAAGCTTTTCTTGATATAATGAGTATGTGTGTTCTACAGATTTTTTTTCTTAAAATTTCCCAAGGTCAAAAAAATACATAAATATATTTTCTCTTTTATTTAATATATTATATAAAAGTATTGGTAAAATTTGTCGGAAAAACTCAAGCTCTTTCCAGAGTATAGATACGGGCATGAAAGTTTGACATGTCCGGGGTCAAATTTTATGCCGCACCTAGGAAAATTATGGACGGAAGATTTTGGAACCCCCATGGTACCTAAATAATATAGGTGCCGGGGCTATCTCGGGACTGAGTGGACTTAGAGGAAAATTTCTGCTGGTAGGATTTTAAGTTGGACCAAGCTAATATATGTAGGAAAAAACTCGAAGTCGAAATTCGAATTTGGAGGGTACTTATGCTTGACACAAAATTCAGACATTTCCTGTGAATTGTCGCATGTGTCCGAAGTGACTCTAAGTGAAAGGATGAGTCCGAATAAAAGAAAGACAAGGGTCTATGTGGAAGGATGAGTCCGAAGTGACTCTAAGTGAAAGGATGAGTCCGAATAAAGGAAAGACAAGGGTCTATGTGGAAGGATGAGTGCGAAGTGACTCTAAGTGAAAGGATGAGTCCGAATAAAGGAAAGACAAGGGTCTAAGTGGAAGGATGAGTCCGAAGTGACTCTAAGTGAAGGATGAGTCCGAATAAAAGAAAGACAAGGGTCTATGTGGAAGGATGAGTCCGAAGTGACTCTAAGTGAAAGGATGAGTCCGAATTAAAGAAAGACAAGGGTCTATGTGGAAGGATGATCTACTTGAAAGGATGATAGGGGCCAGGCATAGGGGCCAGGCATGCAACTTAATCGTTATAGGAATAGGGGCCCGAGCTGACACCCATCTAAAAGGTAGGGCGAGGGCCGAAGGCCCGAGCTGACATCCATCTAAAAGGGAGGGCGAGGGCCGAAGGCCCGAGCTGACACACATCTAAATGGAAGGGCGAGGGCCGAAGGCCCGAGCTGACACCCATCTAAAAAAAGGGCGAGGGCCGAAGGCCCGAGCTGACAACCATCTAAAAGGGAGGGCGAGGGCCGAAGGCCCGAGCTTACACACATCTAAAAAAAGGGCGAGGGCCGAAGGCCCGAGCTGACAACCATCTAAAATGGAGGGCGAGGGCCGAAGGCCCGAGCTGACACACATCTAAAAGGAAGGGAGAGGGTGAGGGTCGAAGGCCCGAGCTGACACCCATCTAAAAGGTAGGGCGAGGGCCGAAGGCCCGAGCTGACATCCATCTAAAAGGGAGGGCGAGGGCCGAAGGCCCGAGCTGACACACATCTAAATGGAAGGGCGAGGGCCGAAGGCCCGAGCTGACACCCATCTAAAAAAAGGGCGAGGGCCGAAGGCCCGAGCTGACAACCATCTAAAAGGGAGGGCGAGGGCCGAAGGCCCGAGCTGACACCCATCTAAAAGGGAGGGCGAGGGCCGAAGGCCCGAGCTGACACCCATCTAAAAGGGAGGGCGAGGGCCGAAGGCCCGAGCTGACACCCATCTAAAAGGAAGGGCGAGGGCCGAAGGCCCGAGCTGACACCCATCTAAAAGGGAGGGCGAGGGCCGAAGGCCCGAGCTGACACACATCTAAATGGAAGGGCGAGGGCCGAAGGCCCGAGCTGACACCCATCTAAAAAAGAGGGCGAGGGCCGAAGGCCCGAGCTGACAACCATCTAAAAGGGAGGGCGAGGGCCGAAGGCCCGAGCTGACACACATCTAAAAGGAAGGGAGAGGGCGAGGGCCGAAGGCCCGAAGTGACTCTAAGTGAAAGGATGAGTCCAAACAGAGGGAACACGAGGGCCGAAGGCCCGAAGTGACTCAAAGTGGAAGGATGAGTCCAATCGAGGGGTAGACGAGGGCCGAAGACCCGAAGTGACTCTAAGTGGAAGGATGAGTCCAATTGAGGTGAAGACGAGGGCCGAAGGCCCGAAGTGACTCTAAGTCGAAGGATGAGTCCCAATGAAGGCAATCTTTTGTTCCAGGCATAAAAAATCGCTAGCGGCGCGCGAAGCGCGCCCCCAAAGCCGTTAGGCTTTCCAACGGGCAGAAGTTTCGTAATTTAAAGAACCCCCCGGTGTATTTTACCGCCACAGTGTCCTGATATCCACCCCAGTGGCCAAACCCATCACTAGTTTAATATATTATATAAAAGTATTGGTAAAATTTGTCGGAAAAACTCAAGCTCTTTCCAGAGTAGAGATACGGGCATGAAAGTTTGACATGTCCGGGGTCAAATTTTATGCCGCACCTAGGAAAATTATGGACGGAAAATTTTGGAACCCCCATGGTACCTAAATAATATAGGTACCGGGGCTATCTCGGGACTGAGTGGACTTAGAGGAAAATTTCTGCTGGTAGGATTTTAAGTTAGACCAAGCTAATATATGTAGGAAAAAATTCAAAGTCGAAATTCGAATTTGGAGGGTAGTTATGCTTGACACAAAATTCAGACATTTCCGGTGAATTGTCGCATGTGTCGGTATTTAAAATTCGCGAATTTCTGGAATAACTCGAAAATGGATAAAGATGGCGGAAAATTTTTGCTGGTAGGATTTTAAGTTAGGATAGGTAGATATATGTAGAAAAAATTTCAAAGTCGAAATTTGAACTTTAGGGGTACTTATGCTTGACACAAAATTCTGGTAAGAGAACCGTCCGACCGATAACTGTCGGATTTCTTCAATGTGAGGAAAGCCGGGGGGCAAATCTCATAGGTGAGAGAGAAATTGTGATTGATAGGAGAAATTTCGAGTTAAAATTTTGGGATTTCGAAACTGAAGCAAGTTTCGAGTTGAGGGAGGGTTTATTGATAGGGGTAATAAGGGGAATTCGAAATTAGGGATCCAGGATTTCGGGATTTTTAGGGATTTTCGAATATGGTCGAATGAGTAGTCATTCGAAAGCGGATAATGAGGGGAGTTGAATGGGATAAATGATAAGTATAAAAGTCGAAGTCCGGAGTTCGAACTTCGAAATCCGGGATTTTCGGGGTTGGGATATATGGGTGTGTGGGTAGTCGTTCGAGAGCTGGGAGTGAGGGGAGTTTAGGGGGATAAGGTATAAGGATAAAAGTCGAAGTTCGAAAGTTCGAAATCCGTTATTACTTCGAAATCCGTTATTTTCGGGATTGGGAAGTATGGGTGAGTGTGTAGTCGTGCAAGAGGGGATGATCAGGGGAGTCTAATGGGATAAGGGATAATGTGAAAAGTCGAAAGTCGAAGTCGAACTTCGAAATCCGGGATTTTTGGCATCGGAATATATGGGTGTGTGGGTATTCGTTCAAGAGGGGATACTGAGGGGAGTTCAATGGGATAAGGGATAATGCCGAAAGTCGAAGTTCGAAAGTCGAACTTCGAAATCCGTGGTTTTCGGTATTCCGAATATTGTCGAATGAGTAGTCATTCCAGAGCGGGCAATGAGGGGAGTTAAGTGGCATTAATAAAATTTTCGATCTTTGAACTTTTTGAAGTCGAAGTTCGAGATTCGACATTTCCGGAGATTTGCGATTTCAAGGGATATGGTCGAATGAGTATTCATTCGAAAGCATATCAGAAGGGTATTCTAATTGGATTAGCCAAAATATCTAATTTCGAAGTTTGTGGGTTGAGATCCGGGATGAAATGGTTTTTAGACCATAACTTTTCGGGAAAATTTTTTAGAATTTTTAAAATAAAAAAATGTCTAACTTTTGATTTTTTCCAAAGGGTACCCCTTCTAAAAAATATTCAGAAATTTTTAAAAATACTCAAAGTTGAATCGACCCCTTCTAATAAACCGACCCTCTAGAGGATGGTTGAAAAATAAACCGACCGGTCGCACTATTAGAAGAAATACGGTATTTAATCTAGTGCTTTTTTTGGTGTTGCGACAATTGAGGATACGCACTTGAGGATATAACAAATGAGGACGACATATGAGGATATGCCAAATGAGGTGCTTATGCAACAAAGTTTTCCTCAATTTTTTCAAATGCTTTGGACTGTTATAATTTCATCAATTCTGGCTATGATTAAATCTATTTTGCCTACAATATTTTTACCAAAAAAGTCAATAAAAGGACAGACTATTTTAATTACAGGATCTGGAAGTGGAATGTGAGATTAATGGCTAATGAGGTGAATTAATAATACAAAAATAAAAATATATTTATTTTTAATAAAGTTTGGGAAACTTGGACGTATTGTGCTTTGGGACATTGATGAAAAGATGAATTTGCAAACAAAAGGAATTCTTGATGATTTAGGCATTCAAGTAGGGGGTTTTTTAATTGATAAACACTTTTCTTTTGATCAAAAGCTGATAATAAGCTTTTAAAAGTGGACACACATTAAAAGATGAGTTAGGCCTGTTTTAGTCAGTAATTTGATTGTTTAACATTTCTGAACAGACTAATTAGAATAAAAGTGTATAATAGGTTTTGGGAATTTTTAGGAATCAAATATGTATATCTAATTTTATTTTTAAATGACCAATACATACAAATTTTCCCAAAGCAAAATTGTTTGTTCACAATTTCAGCCCATATATCAACAATAACAATTGACAAACTAAAGAATATTTTTTGACATTTTTCATTGAGAAGTCAAAAATGGATTTCAAGCAATTCCTTGTAAAATCTAATACTTGAAATATATTTTCAATTCTTTGCGAATTTCGAGGTTTCTGATGGACAAAATACGGTATTTTTCAAACATTTATTTATTTTATTGGCATTATGTTAATTGTAATTTTTAATATTTAAAAATTAATTTTCTAAAAATTTTCTACGGAGAATTATGAAGGCAATGGGTTTTGAACATCCCCAACAGTCCCAACAACATTCACAAAAGAATAAAAATCCTGAAATTGGAGTTTCTATTACTTCTAATAATTCATCAATTAATTGCAATTCCTCAACAAAAAAACAATTAAAGAAAGAAAAAGCAACTAATAATAATAAGCTTTGGACATCGTCAAGATTGGAAGAGAAAAAACGTTTATGGAAAAAAGAACTCGAAGAACCGTTACTTGTAGGTATTTTATATTTGTAAGGGAGAGAGAGGGAGGGAGAGAAATCTCAGTTAGAACATTAAACTTTTGAAAAGATTTTTAAATCTTTAATTATTTTAGAAGCGAATACCCAAAAATTTGTTGACTTCACTTGGTTGGAAAAATCCAATTACAATTATTAGTCCATTTACCAATCGTAACAATAACAACAACAATAATCAACAACAACAAGCAATTGACAAAAAAGAAGCAATTAAAATTTGGAATCAAAATCCAGCCCCAGAACAATTTTTGGAGAAAACAATTATTGAACAACAAATTTAGAAAATTTTTATGAAATTAGGTCTGTTTTAAGTCGCTCTTCCCTATTTTCCTTATACAATAACACAGAAAAGACCGAAACTTTTACTATCCATAAATTGTCCCAAAGTCACTTCACAAGAAAACTGATATCACTTTAAAATTTAGAAAATCGGTGGCTTCCAAAATCCCACAAATTAAAAATACAAACGCGAGACTCTAAATTCTAATAAAATATTTAAATTTTTATTATAATTTCGAGTATGCAGCAAAATTAACTTTACGTCATCTTGTGTTTCTTCCCCTTGGAAATTTTCCCATCTAGTCGTTCATTAACAAAACAAAAATTTTTTTCCTAATCCTTTCTATTTGCTTTTTAGGTCATTTCTGATTTTTATTTTTAGAATAATTTTAAATATGTACATATGCATATTCTTTTTTAAACCTAATTTTTCGTATCATTTTTTTGGGTGAGGGTCAACTCTAGGAATTCCAAATCACAGAACATAAGTCATGGAACAATAAATCATTTTAAAATATTCTGAATTTAAAAATTTAAAAATAATTAAACAATTTTTATTTTTGAATAACCCCCCTTTTTTCAAGTTTATCTGACTATTGTTAGTCTTTTTCGGTACTTTGTTCTTAAACCCCCCACCCGTATTTTAGTCTTATTTTAACTTTCCTTTTATTCTTTCCTGTCTCAGTATGGTCTTGTCTGTCCCGTGTTTTGGAATTCCTTGAGTTGCTATTCACCCAGTTTTATTTAACCCTTATTTAAAATGTTCCCTAAAAAATTTCTTTGTTTTTATTCTTGCAACTTCATATAATTTTATTAGTAATTTTTAAAATGATTAAATTTTTGTCATTTTTATTTACTTTTTTACTAATTTAGCCTCAAATTTTTTTATTTTCTAATTTTATTTTTTAGAAATTATTTATAAAATTTATTTAATTTGGTAATAGTTTTGGAATTCGCCCCTTTTTTTACCGTTTTCCTGACCATTTTTAGTTTTTTTACTCTGCCTTTTAGATAATTGCCAAAAACAATAATTCAATATTCTGCTTGGTCCCCCCTATGGTTTTATAAATTTATTGACAAATACTGTATATATTGAGGTGGGTTAAAACCCAGTGAAGTGGGATTTTTTTTCTGTTTTTGATTTTTGACTCGGATCGTCGTTTGTTTTGTTTTCCCGTTAAAATTTTTGAAAAATATTTTTTGTATATCTTTTTGCGCTAAAATTTTCTTGTCTTATTTTTGACTTTTTACTAAGCTTTTCAAAGCTTTTCCTGCTTCTTGCCATTCCCAAAATTCTTTTTATTTATTTTTAATTTAAATTTTTAAAGCAATTTTGGTAATAGTTTGGAATTCGCCCCTTTTTTTCCTTTTTATTTTTTCCTTATTTCTTCTCATTTTATGGCAAATTATATATCATTCGAAAGAGCTCTTCAAGCTGAGTCGAATGACATTAAAAACAACGAAATCTGACTTAGGTGAACAAAGTTGTGACCGTTTATTTTATCCCCTTGCATTGGCACAAAAAGTTTGCCTAACAAGGACTTAGCTTCATAATTTTGGTAAGAATGATCAGATCTAGCCAATCATGGTATCATTCGACCAAGCTCGAAGAGCTCTTTCGAATGATATATGATAAATTATATATAAAACAAAAAAGCTCAAAATGGTCATGGAAACGGTGAAAAAGGGGGGGGGCGAATTCCAAACTATTACAGCAATTTTATCGCTTCAGACTGTGCCTGATCGAGTATAGAATAATTAAAAAAACATTTCGATTCAATCTTATTGGTTTTGCTGACAAAGATTGAGTTTTTTAAGGGGTCGAGTACCGCGTACATAAAAAAATTTTTTATAACTTCCAACTACGATGCTACAAATTTTAATTTTTATGTAAAAAAACGCGAATATTTTTGACATTTTTTTTGTATTTATTTCAAGCTTATTAGCCTTCCAAAATACTTTTCTATTATTTTGATTCGTATATTTATGTTTTATAGTTTACGCTCTCGAAACCGAACCGAAAAACCGAACCTAAATTTTAGAATATCCTAAACGAACCAAAAATTTTCGGATGTCCGGGACTTAATCGAAATTTTTTTGGGACTCATCATGTTATTTGCCTCAATTATTTAATTCTCAATTTTTCAAATTCGATTTCCTTTTTTTGATTTCTTTTTTTTGAATTCGATTCATTTATAGATAAAATTTAGCTTTTAAATTTTAAAAATGCCTTCCAAACAACAAAAGAAGCGTGAAAAAAGAATGGTACAACGACGCAGCGCAAAGGATCTAAAGAGTCCTTTTGAGGACTATCAGGTCAATCCTGATTCAACTGCGGTGATATTGCGCGGCGAAGAAGTTCCGGTATAATTTCAAAATAGAAAGTAAAATTGAACTTCAGTCGCCACTTTTTTCTTCACGATCTAGGGATTTAAACATTTTTATAGGGATTTCATATTATTGTTTCTACAACATTTTTAGTCAGACGTTTTTAAATAATTTTAAGGGAATCGTGGACATTGAAGTTCAATTTCATCTAATACATCGAACCTCATTCTAACCCATTCCCCACACTTATTGTACAATAAGTACAGTCATAGGGGGAAGTAGTTAACTTATGTAGTAGTTAAACTTATGTAGTAGTTAAACCATACCGTTTTCTTGGGTAATTTGTTTTGTTAAACTTAATTATTTTCTAAAATAAAAATTTTTTTCATTTCTAAATTATAACATAATTATAGGACTTTGGACACGCAGGATCCTCTGGTAATGTTTTTAATGTTTCCCAAGTAGGGTTGAGTGTGTCCTCTATGGGTGTTGGTCCCACAACATCTGGATCTGACTCACCTTTTTTGTCCGCTATGGGTGTTGCTCCTTCTTCCTCATTTTCTTCTTCTAGAGCATTGATTCGTAGTGATAGCATTTCCTCCCAAACTATCGACAAAATTCCACGCCTTGAAAATAATATATGTTCTGTAGATACTGATTCCGATACTTCTTCGATTATATCATATTGTAGTTCTCGTGGCGTAGGGCGTCCAAAAAAGATTTGTAAAGGTGGAAGACCACGAAAGATTTCTAATGAAAATGTTGTTATTAATGATGAACCTATTATATTTTTAGCCCCTGATCCTCCAGATATGCCTGTTCGTCAATCTATTCCTGTTCGTCAATCCGAACGCATTAAAAACCGTAAATTATCCATTACCCAAGTCCCCATTGTACAACCTAAACTTTCTTTTAAACCAAATCCTATTACTGACAATGATAAATGCCTCAGTACTCATGAAGGGTTTCCTTGTGCAGATACTAGAGCTCGCCATACAGCAGAGTATTATGACTCTGGAGACATTGGCAAATTTGAATGCCATTATTGTAAAGCACTTTTATTAGAATCTGAAATTAATCAAAGTCATAAATCCAAGTTTAAAGTTATTACGTCTTCACTTTGTTGTAGCTGCGGAACAGTTACTCTTCCTCCCTATACCGAACATCCTAATGAATTGAAGGTTTTATTAAAAGGCGATACTAAAGAATCTAAAGAGTTCCTTTCGAACCATAATACTTATAACACATTGTTAGCTTTTGCTTCAGTGTCCGTTGGCCATAAGGACTCATCTCATTACGGGAGTGTGTGCTTTATGCTCAACGGCGAATTTTCCCGACATATAAGTTCAATGAATTCTGGACATTTAACCCCATCCTTTTCCCAATTATATATCTTAGATGCAAATGAAGCACTTAATTTACGAACCCAAAATACTCTCTGTGGAGGAGATAGAGTTAATCCACAAACCTTAAAAATTTTAGATTCTGTTTTGAGAAATATAAACCCATTTGCAAATGTCTATAAAAATTTTCATTCCCAATATATGTCCGTTCTTGAAAAGGATGGGAAAGATGCTGTCAGGAACTTTCGCCTTACTATCATAGAAGAAAGAGCTGCTCCTGCCATAATTAGAGGTAAAGGATTACATCCACGACAGGTTAATCTACCTCAAGAAAAAGCCATGTTTTCAGTTTGGACTGAGTCCTCTGAACCACCAAAAATTAAAGGAACATATATAACTGATCTTCAAGGATGTTTATTTGAGGTCAAACCATATAATGCTACGGTTGATTCTCTTAGTTATCCCTTGCTTTTTCCACACGGAGATGATGGATACCATCAGAATATTCCATTTAACCCTAATAGTCCTAAGTATGCAAAGAAATCTACTAATAATCCTATAAATGATAATGAAGACTCAACTAATGAACAAACCGATGATGAATTGGAAATTGATATTGACCCTAAGAAAACAATTTCTTATAGAAAATATATTCGTTACCGACTTGCAATTCGTCGAACTGATTCGCCCCATAATATTTGGAGTGCAGGAGGTGGCTTAAGCCAGAAATTCGTACTAGATTATGCAGCACGAATTGATGCTCAAGTTGCCGACTATTTGCGTCAACCCGAATTTAATCTGCTTAAAACGACAGCACCTGATGTTCTCGACCACATGAGAAGGGATGGTGATCTACAACCAAACAGTAAAATAGGCAGCGTTGTATTGTTTCGCAAATATCATCCCGGAACCCGTCCATACTTTCAAGATATGTTTTATGATGCAACTACTATAATGGCCCGAACTCGTAGGCCTGGACTTGCATCTTTCATGTTTACATTTACTACTAATCCCTATTGGCCTGAGATTTCCCGTAATTTTTTCCACAAAGGTCAAAAAATTGTCGACCGTTTTGATATTTTATGCCGTGTATATGCAGATAAGTTGCGTAAACTCCATTTTCTCCTCAATAAAAAACATATATTTGGTAAAATACTCGGTTATGCCGAAAGTATGGAATTTCAAAAAAGAATTGGTGGCCCACATTTACACAGAGTTTTCTGTGTTGATACCGAAGCAACACCAGAAAATATCGATGGCCTAATTTGGGCACACATTCCAGAAAAACCCGCTGATTCCGATAAATCTGCATGGGCAAATTTTATTAGAAAAGTTCTAGAACTTTTACCCAAGTTTCAAATTCATGATTGTGGTGAGCACTGCAAAGGCAGTAATGGACGTTGCTTAAAAGGATTTCCCAAACCTTATAGTCGCACGACCATTCTTCATGCTAACAAGCCTGCAG